TATAGGGCCCCAGATTCATATTTTGAGGTTCCTCATCGATAGTACAAAACCTAGTATATGTAGGCTGTTATCAGTCTGATAAGCTGTTATCAGTCTGGCTCTTATTAGTCACTGCACAGGTAAGAATTGAGAATTAGAGTATGGGAAACCAGTGTGGTTATTAAAAGTAATAATTAAATCTGTCGCTGCTCCAGAAACTGTGTGTACTTTCAGTACAATGTGGATAAATATAACTTAACAGACATGTATTAGCTGATGTTTCTTGAAACTGAATTCTGTTTAGTTCACATTTTTTGGTTATGTTATGGTCAGAGGCCTGGGGTTATGAAAACCTGTGTCTTAGAAGCCAGAGTTCAGTCTCAAGTGATTAGATGTTTCCTTTTATATTTTCTCCTAGCCTAAATGGGGCAAATTATCTAAGTAATTCAACTTAAGGTGATAATAAAAAAGTCCACTCCTGTGGGTAGAGGAAATTGTAAATCTAGTAGTTCAGTAGTGAGGTATGAGCTGAGGCAAAAATTGGAAGTTATATGTGAAGAAAACAGACCCTGTAAGTCAGGAAATGAAAATTATTACAAAAGCAGAAACAACTAACTCTGGGTTAAAAAGAAAAAAGAAATGGTGAAGCCATTTCAAAATTGAACTTTTACAGTTTTTTGAACTTTTTTGTTTGCTAGGTTAATAACTTCTGATAAAAGAAAAAGTAGATTTTAAAAAATTTTTATTTTATGTTGGCGTATAGTTGATTTACAATGTTGTGTTAGTTTCAGGTGTACAGTAAAGTGATTTAGTTATACATATATCTATTATTTTTCAGATTCTTTTCCCATATAGGTTATTACAGAGTATTGAGTAGAGTTCCCTGTGCTATATAGTAGGTCCTTGTTGATTATCCATTTTGTGTATAGTAGTGTGTATATGTTAATCCCAACTTCCTAATTTATCCCTCCCTCCAACCCACCTTTCCCCTTTGGTAACCATAAGTTTATTTTCTAAGTCTGTGAGTCTGTTTCTGTTTTGTAAATAAGTTCATTTGTATAACTTTTTTAGATTCCACTTATAAATGATATGTGATATTTGTCTTTCTCTGTCTGACTTACTTCACTTAGTATGATTATTTCTAGGTCCATCCATGTTACTACAAGTGACATTATTTCATTCTTTTTTATGGCTGAGTAGTATTCCAGTATATATATATATATATATATATATATATGAACCACAACTTCTTTATCCATTCATCTGTCAATGGACATTTAGGTTGCTTCCATGCCTTGACTATTGTAAATAGTGCTGCAGTGAACATTGGGGTGCATGTATCTTTTCCAAGTATGGTTTTCTCTGGATATATGCCCAGGAGTGGGATTGCTTGATCGTATGGTAGCTCTATTTTTAGTTTTTTAAGGAACCTGCCTACTGTTCGCCATAGTGACTGCACCAATTTACATTCCTACCAACAGTGTAGGAGGGTCCCTTTTTCTCCACACCAAAAGTAGAGTGTTTTTTAAAAATTCATTTCTTTTCAGTCCTCAAATTTTTTTAAAATTGCTAATCAGATACTGCCCACACTGAGATTGATGTATACATGGACCATAAAGTATATATATATAGTCGGAGAATGCAAAAGCTAAGATTTTGCAGGCTATAAGCATTGGTTTATTAGTGATGTTTTTCTTTTCTTTTTTGCCAATTTCTAATAAAATGAAATTGGAGGGGAGATCAGTTAAAGGCCTTCAGAATAGACAGAGACCAAACTAGAATAGTAATATTAAAGAGGAAATGGATTCCAGTGATTGTGAAGGTGAATTGCAAGGACAGTTGGATACTATAGGAAGCAAGGACATGAACTTTTGAGTGTAGATGATGTTGGAAATGTGGATGGGGGAGCAACTTTGAAAGAGAAGGCAGTTTTAATCAAAAGATGGTAGTATGAGTGTAAATAGGGACTTGTTTCAAACATTTTTTTCCAAAGGAATTGAGACTTGAGCATTCTCTTGAGTTCAGTGAGTGAGCCAGGGAAATGAACCCGTTAAGGATGCAAAGGAGAAAGGGGGAAATTTGCAGGACAAAGTTCTGGAGAAGGCAGGATGAAGATCATAGTTTTCTTTTTAAAAATTAACATTTATTACTGTGAAAATATCTAATGGTACACCCTCTTCATTATTCCAGTCCTGATAAAAATAAGAAAAAAAATTATGAGTTGGAATTTTGTTATCAAAACTCATACTCCTCATGGTGAATATCATAGTATTTTTTGAGGTGCTTATCAGTCTAGGATTGTGCAGTAGTCTTCTGATGGTTCTTCTTACTCTCAGTTCTACTATGTCTATATTCCTCACTACAGATATTATAGTGTTCTTCCAAAATGCAATCAGAAATTATGAACTCTTCTTTAGAGTAAATTGCTTCCCCTAAGTGATAAAATCCATATTATCTTCATGATCTTGTCACATTTTCCAACAGTCTCTGTTCACTGCATAATCTACAAACCAACCGCAGTAAGAGAATTCCTGATTTATTTGGGGTAGACAAAGTAAATCTCTGTTCTTGGCCAACAAAAGAGCTCAAAATAAATATGGTTCTACCGCAAAGGCTAAAATTAGGGATATATATTAATATATTAAAGATTTTGTCTGTATATAATTTGCAATGATCTGCCAGAAATTCCTTACATAGACTTAATTGCCAGATTAATGCCCTGAAGTGAAAGTAAACAGTGCATGTACATGTAATAAGAGCTAAGGACTGTAGTGATAACCCCAGTAGGCAAACATTTCAGAGTTTTACTACCTCATTTCCTGATTTCAGAAGCCAAGGATAGAAACTGGGGGGGTTTTGTAAGTGGTCCCATTCAGTTTTTTTCCCCTTTTTCTTTGGATTCTAGGAAAATTCACTTTAATATCTAGTTGATTTTTTTAAAATCTAATTGTACCTAGTTAATATCAAACTTTCCTCAATAAGTCATTATAGACACAGTCTTTGTGTCTATGGTATTGTAGGCAATTAAGGGATGGGCAGAGAATCTAAGTGTGCCTTTTTCTGCCTACCTCTCTACTCGCCTAAGCAACGTATCCAGTGAGTTCTAAGAGGTCACCAGCAGTAAAAGGAGCAGGGTTCCTTGGTGGAGCTACCCCAGGAGAATGTTAAATTGCTGGTTAATCTGCAGAAATCCTGGGGCAGGCACTCTACTTCTCACATCAATGGTTAGTGGGATGATGCTGAAATATTATTGAGAAGCACCTTTTGGGAAGTCTTAGAGACACCCAGGTGGCTGATATCTGGGGTACAGAAAAAAAGCCTGGATGGAAAGTAGGGAGAACAGACTAGTTATCTTCAACTAGGACAGTGAGAGTGGGAGCAGAAAGGAGTTAAGAGATACAGGACATTGGAAAAGCAAAGGAAGCAGAATTAGGCACATAATTGCCCATAATCTTATTTTTTCATTTATTAACTAAAGCTATTCAAAATCTATTAATATACAGAACTTTTGTTTTTACTTGAAATAGTGATTAAAGATTTTGGTTGTAGTGTATCTTTTTTGTATTTTCCCCAATATCATTTGGGTTGTACCATCACTGGAAATTTATAAGGATTTATGTGATTTAGCTGATTGCCTTTGTGGGAGTCAGTGTTGTTAAGTGCACAGACTGAGCCAATTGTCTGAGTTGAATCCCAGCACTACGTCCCAGCTCACCACTTTTTGGCTGGGTGACCTTGGCTACTGGCTTAATCACTCTGTAAATACTTCCTCTTTAAAACTGAGATTAGTAATAGTGTCTACTTCATAAAGTTGCTATGAGGATCAAAGGTGTTAATATATGAAAAGTATTTAGGACAGCGCCTGGCACATAGTAAGCAAGATCTAAGTGTTAGCTATTGTGTTTACTTTGCATTGACTATGGTACTCAGATAATACATTCCTTGAAGCAATCCTTATAATATGTGTTATTAGGAACAGAGCATACTCTATTTTGACTTTTAAAGGGAATATATGCATACGGTAAAACAAAACTGTCCAATATGGTAGCCAGTAGCCAGTTGTGATGATTTAAATTAATCAAAATTAATAAAATTAAAAATTCAATTCCTTAGTTGCACTAGCTACATCTCAAGCACACAATAGCCACATGTGGCTGTTACCTATGAAACTGGACAGTGCAGATACAGAACATTTCTGTCTTTGCAAAATGTTCTATTAGAGCCGGCAGATAGTGAAACCTCCCTCCCATTCCTACCCCCAAATCCTTCCTCCCAGGGGTAATCCCTGTTACAGGTTTCTTGCACAGCTTTTCATGGTTCAGACACACACTTTTTTTACATAAATATTATATAATTTGCACTGTACTGTGACTTATTTTTGTTTGTTTTAAAATACACTAACTGTATTGATTTTTTATTGATATATAATTGACATAACACTTCCTAGTTTTAGGTGTACACCATAATGATTTGATATAAGCATATACTGCAAAATGATTACCGCAATAAGTTAATATCCATGTATTGATTTTTGGAATATGTCAGCTCCCTACATTTAATCAATTAACAGTTCAGAGATTTAGAGCATCTGATATTTGGCTTAGGAAGCAACAATTCAACTCTAAGAAATACGCATCTTGTTATATTTGGGAGCAGGTGTAAGGAATAATCTACTTCAGTTTTCTTTCTTGTGTGGCACATGCTACCCACACTGATGTGAGTTAAGCGAGTTGAAAGTGATCATCTCCCATCAGCATGGCCAGGAATTCTGCAGCTCCTGTCTCCGTATCACAGAGAGCTCCTGCGCTGTGGGAAAACCCTGCATAAATGCTGGGGTCACTGTGAAGATATCTCATTATGGGTTGGGACGCCTGCCCCCGGCCACTCCCAGGCTGCGGAGAAGGGGACCCGGCGTTCGGCTCGGACGGCGTCCCCTCCAGCCGGAGGAGCGCGAACACGTCCGCCCGCTAGCGGAGAGAGGCGCCCCCTGTCGCCCGGTCAAAGAGGCGGCGCGGGCTCGCGGGAGGCTGGGAACATGGCGGGGAGGCCCGCGGCCGCCGGCACCCCGCCGCCGGACCGGGACCGAGCGGCGCCCAATGTGGTGGCGTGGATCTCGCAATGGGCAGACGACCACCTGCGTCTCGTCCGGGTACCGCAGACCCGCTGGCCGGGCAGGTGGTGGGCGCGGGCTGCGCGGCGCGAGCCTGAGGGAGACGCGTCCTGGGGAGGCCCGGGCAGCGGACCCGCCGGGCCGGGGAGGCATGGAAGGCCGCGGGGGAGCAGCTCGAGGGCCGCCCCGTCAGGGCAGCCTGTGCAGGGCCGCGGGGGCAGTTGGGAAGGGCCGGGCAGAGACCAAAGCAGGGCACGTAACTCCATAGGCCTGCGGAGAATGGAGGAGTTCGTTTCTTTAATGCAGTGAGAGGCCATTGGAGTTACAACAAAGGGCGGGGGCGGGAGGGAAGGGGGCTGCATTTTCGCGATTAGACAAGAGAGGATTGTGGTGATTTCTTTCTTTCTAACAAAGAGAGGAATAAAGGGGGCTGCCTGCTTCGTGAATGGTGTTGGAAATTGCTGATATAGAGGAGTTGGGATAAATGAATTGTTAGGGAAATCTAGGGAGCCTTTTGCACGTGTGAACTTGAGGATGTCTATGAGACCTCTAAATGGAGATGTGTGAACTTGAAGATGGTCATTAGACTTCTAAACGTAGCTGTAGATGTTCTAGGCAACTGGAGACAGGAGTCATGTATTGAATGGAAGTCAGAACTGGGCATATAACTTTGGGAATGGGCTGCATAAACCTTGAGTAGTATTTAAAGCTTGGATGATGTCTTGGAGCCAGTCAGAAAAGCTCCTGAAGAAGCCCTAGAACTGAGACCTGGGGGCCTCTCTAACATTTAGAATTTCGGGCCTGAAAAGGAGGTCAGCAAAGACTAGGAAGGAACAGACAGGGAGGAGGAGGAAAATCAGGAAAACCAGGTGTCCTGGAAGCCAAGTGAAGAGTATGTTTTCAGATGGAATGATTAACTGTTGAATTCTGCTGGGAAGTTGAGTAGGATCATCAGCTTTGCAAATACTTTGCAGCCAAGCAGCACATGTCTGTTTTCACTCACTAGTGCAGCTCAGTCCTTAGAGTAGTAAATACCACTTAGTAAGTGCTAGATAAATATTTGTAGCATTAATGCAATATATATATGTGAATATACACACACATATATGTTAATTGACAAGGCCTTGGTTCTTCCAGTTAAGCAGGAAGAGATGCATTGGTTATTACAAATTAAAAAATAACTTCATCAGCACTGGGGAGGAAACAGTGTTAAGTTAGCAAGCACATGGATAGTTCATTCCAAATAATCCAATCACAGAATGTACCCTTGTGTATATTTTCAACTTCATCTCTTATATGCTTAGTTGTATTTATTGAAGGAAAGCATGTTAGATTACCACTGTTGAGGGAATTATAGGATCCTTATTAATTAATTAAACTCCTTTAGGTCTGTTTCAGTTTAAACGTAGCACTTTAAAGGCATCGCTAAGTTTTTCCCAACTGTTTGCAACATGTATTTCCCAAGTGCTATATTTTAAGGTTTTGGTGATAAAGTTTTCTACCAGATACTTAAATTCTGTCTGCAGACTCAGGGTTATGGAGTTCCTGTGGGCCTTGCAGAAGAAGTATTAGACTAATTCATGCATTCAGGGAACTCATGGTTAAAGCAATACAATCAATAGAGAGCAGTACCATATTATGTATATAATTACTGTGTGTGCCAGTTTGGTTGGAGAAAAAGGGGAAGATTAATGGGCGGGTGGGCAGTTAGTTTTTTTGGAAGAAGTGGACCTTTAGTTGAAGGATATGCCTTATTTGGGCAGTTAGGTACAGAGAGGATTTTTTTTTCTGCCTTCTAATTAGTACTTTCACTATTGTGAATAATAATTAGGATTAATCATTAAATCTCTTTTTGAAGAACATCAGCACCGTAATGGCCATAGCTGGAGTAATGTTACTTCTAAGAAGTGTTCGAGTGGTAAGTTAAAAAAATGAAGAAGACATTATGATAAGCACCAGACAGTTAATTTTTCTCACTTCAGATAAGAAAGATGATATCTCAAGCAGTGTATCATTTTGTTATTCATATTAGAAGCTTTTAAATAGTATTTTAGAACAATGAACATATTTTAAGATGTTGGTTTAAAAGTAACACATCCACAGGATTTTATGGAAAGTAATTGCACAGCCTGTATTTCCATAATCATTTTTCTTCCTGCTTAAAAAGGAATCTGAAAAGGATTTAATTTACTAGAATGGTGTAACCACTAAATTTGCATTTCACATGTTGAAAACAGTCAAAAGTGTTTCCTGTGGTGGTATTAAATTTAAATCGCTGTTGAATTATGTCCCTTAGAACTAAATAATTTATGCTTTCATTTAGTGTATTTTTTTGCCCTTTCAATAATGTATTAATCATAGACATTGTGGAAATCCATTTGATAATTCAAGATTTACAAGTATTTTTTTAATACACTTTATTATTATCATAGGATGTAATTTCAGTGACATGTTCAGTGTCAGTGTCATGTGTCATCCAACTGCGATGGATATATTGCTTCTATATATATTGATTTCCTACACTTATCTCTATATTATTTTGTATTATCATTGACTACACCCCATTACTTTATCATACTATATCTTTTCCAACTGTTGCCTTTTCACCCAGACACCAATTTCAAAACTTTTGTCTCTTTTCCCTTCTTTTTGTTTTAGTGCCTTGCACTCATCTTTTTAAACTGAGAGGTAATTGACATACAGTGAAAGTGTAAGTTTAAGATGTACAGCATAATGATTTGACTTACATACCTCATGAAATGATCACCACAGTAAATTTAGTGAACATCCATCATCTCATATAGATATGAAATTAAATAAATAGAAAAAAAATTTTTTTCCTTGTGATGAGAAGTCTTAGAATTTCTTGGAGCCAGTCAGAAAAGCTCCTGAAGAAGCCCTAGAACTGAGACCTGGGGGCCTCTCTAACATTTAGAATTTTGGGCCTGAAAAGGAGGTCAGCAAAGACTAGGAAGGAACAAACAGGGAGGAGGAGGAAAATCAGGAAAACCAGGTGTCCTGGAAGTGGTCTCTCAACCACTTTCATAGATAACTTACAGCAGTGTTCATTATATTAATCATGTTGAACATTACATCCCTAGTACTTATTTATCTTATAACTAGAAGTTTGTACCTTCCAAGTTCCCCCTTCCCCTACCCCACCTCTCCTAACCACAAATCTGATCTCTTTTTCTATGAGTTTGTTTTTGAAGTAAAATTGACCTACAACACTGTTACTTCCTGTTACACAATGTAGTGATTTGATATTTCAATACATTTCAAAATGATCACCACGAGTCTAGTTACCATGTCACCATACAAAGATATTGCATAATTACTGACTAAATTCCCCATGCTGTACACGTCATACCTGTGACTCATTTATTTTGTAACTAGAAGTTTATCTCCTAGTCCTATCTCCCTTACCTATTTCTTTCCTTCCCTCACTCCCCTCCCCTCTGGCAACCACCTGTTTGTTCTCTGTGTGTATGACTGTGTTTCTGTTTTGTTGCATTTGTTCATTTATTTTTCAGAGTCCACGTATAAGTGAAATCATACAGTATTTGTCTTTCTCTGTCTGACTTATTCATTTAGCATAATACCCTCTAGGTCCATCCATGTTGTTGCAAGTGGCAAAATTCCATTCTTTTTTATGGCTGAGTAATATTCCATTGTATATATACATACCACATCTTCTTTATTCATTCATCTATCGATAGGCATTTAGGTTGCGTCCATATCTTGGCCACTGTAAATGATGCTGCAGTGAACATGTGAGTACATATATCTTTTCAAATTAGTGTTTTCATTTTCTTTGGACAAATACCCAGGAGTGGAATTGCTCGATCATATGGTAGTTGTATTTTTAATTTTTTGAGGAACCTCCATACTGTTCTGCATAGTGGCAACACCAATTTATATTCCCAACAGTTCATGAGGGTTCCCTTTTCTCCACATCCTCACCAACACTTGTTATTTGTTGTCTTTATGATAATAGCCGTTCGGACAAGTGTGAGGTGACATCTCATTGTGTTTTTGATTTGCATTTCCCTGATGATCAGTGATGTTGAGCATCTTTTTGTGTGCCTGTTGACCATCTGTATACCTTCTTTGGAAAAATGTATCTTTAGGTCTTCTGCCCATATTTTAATTGGGTTGTTTGATTTTTTGATGCTGAATTGTATAACTTCTGTGTATATTTTGGAAATTAAGCTCTTATTGGATATATCATTTGTAAATATCTTCTCGCATTCAGTAGGCTGCCTATTTGTTTTGTTGACAGTTTCCTTCACTGTGCAAAAGCTTTTTAGTTTGATGTGCCATTTGTTTATTTTCACTTTTGTTTCCTTTGCCTGAGGAGGCATATCCAAAAAACTACTAATAAGACTGATGGCAAAGAGCATACTGCCTGTGTTTTATTCTAGAAGGTTTATGGTTTCAGGCCTTACATTTAAGTCTTTAATCCATTTTGAATTTATTTTTGTGCATGGAGTGTAGTCCAGTTTCATTCTTTGACGTGTAGCTGTCCGGTTTTCCCAACACCATTTATTGAAGTGGCTGTCTTTTTTGGGGTAGGGGGGCTTGAACTCATTTTTAACCTTATATTTAATAGGCTCTTTCTTATAACACCTCCATGATTTTGTAAGTCATTCATTTTTAGCCTATGTATATTCTTCTAGAATGGAGCTTTTGAAACTTTAGTTCTTTTCGTTCTACTTTTTTCATTTTCTTATATCTCTACATTCCATGACATATCTGTATTTTGAAGTTTCCAAAATTGCCAAAATATTAAATTATCTGATTAAGAGTTAAGGGGAAAATAGTGCTGAGGGATCATTTCTCTTGTTAGCCCTTAAAAAAACACATGAATCAATTAGAGATCATTGTAAGTTTTTCGTTATGTTTAGTATATAGTTCAGTACTTCACTTTGGTAATATTAAAAGCAGAGTGTGACGGGCTTCCCTGGTGGTGCAGTGGTTGAGAGTCCGCC